CCCCCTCGCCCCGCCCCTCCCCCTTATGGCTCCGCCCACACATCTCGCCTCACCGCGCCCCTCGCCTGTCCCCGGGTCTCTCGTCCCGCCCACGCCTATCGTGCCGCGCCTCTCTCCTCGCCCTCTAGCCCAGCCCCCTATGGCCCCGCCCCGCGCCTCTTGCTTCGCCCTACCCTCTAGCAACGCTCCCTACGGCCCCGCCCCACGCCTCTCCCCACACCGCTCCCCTCGCCCCTCTCCGCGTCTCGGTGACCCCGCCCCCTCGTCGCCCCGCCCCCTCCGGCCCCGCCCCTCCACGGCGCCCCCTCCCGCCCGACGTCCTCCGCCCAGCCTGGCTGCGGGTCCGCCCCGAGGAGGCGGGGCCTGGGCGGCAGGGAGGTGCCCTTCCCTGGTTCATGCCCCGCCGCTCTAGCCGGGCGGAAGCGGCGCCGCGCGCTGCGGGCTGCATGGCGGGCCCTCCGGACGCGAGCGGGCCGGGCCTCGCGGGGGAGCCGCCGCAGCAGCCACACTCCTCCCGCCAGGCGCCCCCCGAGCGCCCGGCCCAGGGGGGCCCCCAGTCAGGGCTCCTCGCCAGCCTCTTCGCCCCCAGCCCGCAGTGCCAGCCCATGCTCCTCGAGACGCTGGAGACGAGTAGGTGCCGGGGCCGGCTGCGGCCGGGTGGGCGGGGCCGGGGGACGGTGGGTTCAGCAACCTCGGCGCAGGGGCGGAGTGGGGCCTTGGCCTCAGTTTCCCCTTTCGGCGCTGTCTCGCTTGTGGCATGGACGAGAAGTCGGGCTGGGAGTTTGGCCTTTTGGGTCACCCTCACTGCGCTGACAGGTCCTCTGGTCGTTTACGTAAGTTATGCAGCGACACGGTGGCCCTAAGGCAAGGGTGAGGCAGAATTTTAAGATTAATTAAGGCATACCTCCCGCGGGCTGTGCAAAAACCACAAAACTGCCCTTCCTTGGAAGGGGTTCTTAACCTGCATGCCTGAATGGGCATCAGAGTAGAAATCCCTGACGTGGCCTGTGAAATCGTGTGTGTGTGTGTGTGTGTGTGTGTGTGTGTGCACGCGCTCATGTGCCTAAGTGCATTTTTTTCTGGGGATAAAGTGCACAGCTTCATCGTATTCTCAGAGAGATCAGTGGCCCTCCAAAGATTAAGAACCACTGCTTGTGGGTTAAATAGGGACACACAACTGCCCACCCACCCATTTCCCCAGTCGCAGGGACATGGCCCCGGAGAAGATTTCCTAACACCTTTACAATGACATAGACTTCCCTGGCTGACTTCAGATACGTCTAGAACATCAAAGTCTTATCTGTGCTTGTTCCAAAGCCAGGTCGCTATTTCATAGCTGGCCACAGTTTAAAAGCAACCGCCCAAAGATTTTCCAACCTTCTTGTGATTACCTGCCTGAAGAGACACTCAGGTGAGGTGGGAGGGGGAAGGGAGGTAGAAGGCAGAGGGAGAATGATGATATTGTATTGGCCAGAAAAATATGTCTTGAGTGCCTCCTGGGTGTTTCAAAGTGGAATGCAGTGGAAGGAACACGGGTTGCAGAGTGAGCCAAGCGTGCTCATCCTGTTTCTTATTAGGTCTGGAAGAGTGGCTTAGCCCCTCTGATCACCTCTATCCTTGTCTGTAAAAAAAGGGAGATAAAATTCCTCTCTTGGGGTTGTTGTGAAGAAAGCGTTTATGAATGTGAAGTGCCAGCTTATCAGGAGTGGAAGGTGGCTGTCTTTAGAGTGGAAGAGCCACTGTTGAAATAGGATCGAGGAAGGTGAACCCCAATAGGAACCAGTAGACCTCAGCCTGTCCAGAGAGGGCTGCCAGGAGGGCTATTGGTGGTACTAAAGCATCAACTTGCAGCTTTAACATCTTGTCTCTGGGCAGGGGGAGTGGGAGAAACCAGGCCTCATGGGAGACCTTTTTTTTTCTTCAAAGCAAATTCTAAATACTGTTGCAGGTCCTTTGTGAAGTAACACAAACAACGGTGATACCTGCATTTTTTTTTTTTTTTTTTGAGTTGGAGTCTCACTCTATCGCCCAGACTGAAGTGCAGTTGCCGCTCCCGGCCACCGCAGCCTTGACCTGCTGGGCTCCGGCGATCCTTCTGCCTCAGCCTTCCAAGTAACCAGAATTACAGGCATGTGCTACCACGCCCGGCTGATTTTTGTAAAGATGAGGTCTCGCTGCCCAGGCGGGTCTCCAACCCGTGGGCTCAGGCAATCCACTCACCTCAGCCTCCCAAAGGCGCAAGATTACAGGCTGAGCCACCGAGCCCTGCTGCATTTTTTTTTTAAAGTAAGGGGACTACAGACTTCTGGAGCCATTTCAGAGAGAATCGTAAAATTCTGTTAATTGCATGAATAATGCGTTAATATGGTGCCTGATACCTGTTTTGTGCTCAATTAATAATACTTATTATTAACAATTAAGTATTCTACTGTTAACACTTTTACAAGAGGGCAGATTAGTAAAGCAGTAAGTAACCTGTACTTAACTTTCTCATCCCACGCTACCTTTACTCAGCTGTTTTTACTCTCAACATTTTTTTAGAATCTTGTTTCCTTTTATGTTTCTGCCTTCTTGTGTTATGTCATATAGCTTGCTGTTCATTTATGCTCTCAGGTAAGACGCCTGACTGAAAAGTTGATATTAGAGGTGCTTGAGTCTACTCTGCTTTTCTTGTAATAGTCACAGGCCCATAGGGTCTTGGGAGTGGAAGGGCCTTTAGGAATCTAGGCCTCCCCATCCCCGTACAGGGAAACCTCTGTGCCATCTCTTACCAGTTGGTTCATAGATTTCTCCTGGAGCAGATCATTTTTTTTTTTTTTTTTTTGAGTTGGAATCTCACTCTTGTTGCCCAGGCTGGAGTACAGTGGCATGCTCACGGCCACCGCACCCGCGATCTGCTGGGCTCAGGCTAGCCTTCTGCCTCAGCCTTCCAAGTAGCTGGAACTACAAGTGGATGCTACCATGCCTGGCTCATTTTTTGATCTATTGTAGAGATGAGGTCTTGCCAAGTTGCCCGGGCTGGTCTCGAACTCCCGGGCTCAGGCAGTTCTCTTGCCTCGGTGTCCCAAAGTGGTGGGATTACAGGCTGAGCCACCGTGCCTGGCCTCTTTTTTTTTTTTTTGAGTAGGAGTCTCACTGTGTTGTCCAGGCTGGAGTGCAGTGGCACGCTCACAGCCACCACAGCCTCGACCTGCTGGGCTCAGGTGATCCTTCCTCCTCAGCCTTCTGAGAAGCTGGAACTATAGGCATACACCATCACGCCTGGCTAATTTTTTCATTTATTGTAGAGACAAGGTCTCACCAAGTTGCCCAGGCTGGACTCCAACCCCTGGACTTAGGCAGTCCTCTTGCCTCTGCCTCCCAAAGTGCCTGGATTACAGGCATGAGCCACCGCGCCTGGTGTGTTCTTTGAGGCTCTTCGAATCTCCTGTATTGTTTCAACAGCTTTACTTGTTGGAAAAATCCTGTCTCATACTGAGTTGAAATCTGCCACACGTAACCTCTACCCTTTGGTCCTTGCTTTGTCCTTTGAAGAAATATTTTTGTTGTTGTTCTGAAGTGATACTCCTGCCTCGACTTCCTGAGCCCAGGCGATCCTTCTCCTCAGCCTTCTGAGTAGCTGGGACTACAGGTGCATGCCACCACACCTGGCTAATTTTTTGATTTTTTTGTAGAGATGAGGTCTCAGAATGTTGCTCCTGCTGGTCTCAAGCAGTCCTCCCACCTTGGCCTCCCAGAGTGCCGGGATTGCAGGTGTGAGCCACCGCACCTGGCTCCAAGAAATATGAATTGAGCCACATTGCATCCCTTCAGCACTCGAAGCTACTATAGTCCTAGTTAAGTCTTTGTCTTCCCAAACCCCAAAAGCCTCTCTTGCTTCTTACCAAACACAGTCCCGCACTATTGTGGCAGGGCTTTCAATGGCAGGTCCCATTTAAAGTGGATACGCGGCATGTGACATGGTGTTCTTGTGGACTGACCAGGACGGAGAACAGAGTGACTATTGCCTTCCTCAAATCTGGATACTGTGCCATTGTTCACTTCTAGGAATGTGGCGCCAAATTCCCGCAGTCTTTTGGTCTATACTGTAATATAATGTGTCTGATCATTTAACTGAAAAGGACCTTTAATAGCATATTTGATATTAAGACGCTTGGTGGTGATACCATCTTGGTATTTATATTAGTGTTTTATTTCAGTTAAGATTTACTTTGATGTTAATTTAAGCTTGCCTTTCTATTTTTATGAATTGTAAGATAGTATTACTCCATTATAATTTGTGAGTTGCTTTTCGATAGTATACTGCTATTTGGGGAATTTATCTGGTGCTACTTTTTCTGACTAGCTTGCTTAATGGAATCAATCTTTTTTTAGATCCGTATGTCAGACTTCTACTCGATGCTATGAAGCATTCAGGCTGGTAAGTAAATCTTTTCAAAGTGGTGCTCTATGTTATGGCTATTAAAAACAAAAACCAAAAAACCAGAACTGCTTAAGATTTCTCACTTCAGGTCATGGAGCCCTTTCCATAGGGTAATTGGTGGTGACTGGCCACGTTGTCTTCAGGCAGGCCTTGTTCTCTTTGGGTATCTTCTCCCCTAACTCAGTTTCTGGCTCTACCATTCACCTTGGGTAATTAGTAAAGACAATATTCAAAATCTTTCTTGTAAGTAATTACCAAACTTGGCCTTTCTACTACACCAGCCTGGCCATTGTTCTTACAGGGGAAGAAATCTCAACTTGTTACTAGGAACCTTCCAGATGTTATATAATTTTGAGAGGATTAAAGGAAGTGACTTCTGATATCCAGTTCTTTTTTTTTTAGATTAGAATATATAATTTATTTAGAAAGTAAGTGAGAGGGAAAGAACGAGGATTCACCTCTTCAAGGTAGGTGAGGGGGCCAGAGCTTAGTAAACACGGCAGTAGCCACAGCTCAAAGAGCACATGACCACACCAGAGTCTAGTAAAGCAATGGCGGCCGATATCCAATTCTTAACCCTCTGGCCCAGGGGCAAGGGACTACAACATACTTCCACTGTGGTCTTCATCAGTTGACCAAATGCTTTATGGAATCATATCATCGAATTTGAGCTTGGATGGATTTTGCAGAGACAGGCTTTTTATTTTACAGATGAGGAAACTGAGTCTTGAAGGTGTTAAGTTGCTTTCCTAAGGTTTCGCTTGTGTTAGTGGTGGAGGTGGGTGGGACTTACCATATGGTGGAGGGTCTCCCGAGGCCTGGCCCAGGGCCGTTTTCCACATGCATACTGCTTCTGGACATTGTCCTGTTATTTTTGCCTTTTAGTGCTGTTGACAAAGAAAGACACTTTTCTTGTGAAGATTGTAATGGAAATGTCAGTGGAGGTTTCGATGCTTCAACATCTCAGGTAGGCATTTTCCCCAAACTGTTTCCTTCCCTGAATCCTCTCTCCTGATATTAACTGAGCATCTTCCACTCGCTGGACCTTCTATTTGGTAGACTTCGTGTAGGACTCAAAAGATGAATTCATCCTGGTCCTTACTCTTGAGGTGTTTACACTTTCACAGGGAAGATAAGACATGAACATGGGCGGTCAGAAAACTTGAGGCAGGCTAAACTGTTTGAGGTGGGTTTGATTACCACAGTGGGACTGCTATGTGATTGACTGAAAGATGCCAGCAGGTTCAGCTAGAGAATACATAACCTCCTCAGGCAGAGCAGGGGTGGCATGGGCAAAAGTGGTGTGCTGGGAAACCACACTAGTACGTCTGGGGAGTGGCATGCTGTCTTGTCTAACTGGAGGGCAGGAACACATGGGGAGTAGGGGCAACAGGATTGGAAAGAAAGGTGAGCCTTGCAGCGGGAGTCGTTGAATGCTCAACAGAAGGGTGTTAGCTCTGCACAGTGAGAAGTGATACCACCTGTGAAATTTTTGATTGGGGTGTCTTTTCATCTGTAAAATATGAGTAGTGATTGTATCTATGTTTTTCTTTTCTTTTTTCTTTTTTTTGAGTTGGAGTCTCACTCTGTCACCCAGACTGGAGTGCAGTGGTCACTCGTGGCCACTGCAGCCTCGACCTGTTGGGCTCTGGTGATCCTTCCGCCTCAGCCTTCCAAGTAACCGGAACTACAGGCATGTGCTACCACACCTGGCTAATTTTTGATTTATTGTAGAGATGAGGGCTCACCAAGTTGCCCGGGTGGGTCTCAAACCTGTGGGCTCAGGCAATCCACTCACCTCAGCCTCCCAAAGCGCGGGATTACAGGCTGAGCCACTGAGCCTGGTGTATCTGTCTTACAGAGTGATGATGAGAATGAAATGAGATGTCTCTTGTAAAGCGTCTGGCCCATAGTAGGCATTCTGTACATTTCATTATTGGTTTTAAGTCACTGGTGGGTTTTGACAGCGTCTTAGAGGTGGTAGATGGACTGGGTCATATGATGAGGGTAGATGGTATTATAAGTAACTATTTCCAACTTGAATATGTAACTCATATTTAACTAGACTTCACTGTTTCCTGCTGGAGAATTTTGTGTGTTTATTCTTAACTTTTTTACAGGAATTATGGCAAGTGGCAATATAGAACAGGGGTGAGAGATCTGGACTGTAGAGTCAGAAAGACTTGAGTTCAAATCCTAGCTTCCCTGCTTATTAACTGTGGGGCTTGGGCAGTTATTTTTCTTATTCTCGGTTTCCTCATTTGTAAATTGGTGATCATAGTATCTGTAGCTCTCAAAATGGCTCTTGGTAAGTTCAACCCCTTCTCTGTCCCCTGGGGTTAAATAAAGCACACATCTTGAACTTTTATCTACATTGTTGGCAGTTGAACACAGTTGGTACTGTGTCCTTTTATTTTTTTTTTAATTAAAGTTTTTATTAGGCTGGACTTGGTGGCTCAGTCTGTAATCCCAGCACTTTGGGAAGCCGAGGTGAGTGGATTACCTGAGCCCGTGGGTTCGAGACCAGCCCAGGCAACTTGGTAAGGCTTTGTTTCTACAATAAATTAAAAAAAATCAGCTGGGCGTGATAATATACACTTGTAGTTCTGGCTACTTGGAAGATCGAAGTGGAAGGATCGCTGGAGCGCAGAAGGTCGAGGCTGCGGTGGCCGTGAGCGTGCCACTGCACTGCAGCCTGGGCGACAGAGTGAGACTCCAACTCAAAAAAGTTTTTTAAAAATTAAGTATCTCATCCATACAGAGGAATAAAATACCTGTATATACACTTTCACTAATAATAAAATGAACAACTGTGTCCTTGTCGCCCAGATCTGAAAAGTAGAACATTGCCAGAACTCAGAAGCCCATGTGTTCCTGTGAATCATATTGCTCTGCCGTCCTTATCTTGACTTTTGTAATCAGTCCCTGCTTTTCTGAAGGGTTTTACCATCTGCATATAAAGTCCAACAAGGTGTTATTTATTTGTTTGCTTTTGAGCTTTATACATGGAATGCTTTGAACTCATATGAATATTGTGAATATACTGCATTATGTAATATTATGAAATTATATAGTAAATAGTCTCCTGTAACTTAATTCTTTTTTTTTGAGTTGGAGTCTCACTTTGTTGCCCAGCTGGGCTCTGGCGATCCTTCTGCCTCAGCTTTCCAAATAGCTGCAACTACAGCTGTGTGCTACCACTCCTGGCTAATTTTAAAAATTTTTTTATTGTAGAGATGACGTCTTGCCAAGTTGCCCAGGCTGGTCTTGAACCCCTGAGCTCAGGCATTCCTCTTGCCTCGGCCTCCCAAAGTGCTGGGATTACAGGCTTGAGCCTCTGCGCTGGGCCTAACTTAAATTCTTTTGTTCCACATTATTTGTGTGATTCTTTCATGTTGTTCTGTGTACCTGTCTGATTTATTTAGTTTCACTGATGTATAGTATTCCATTGTGTGTTTATGTTACAATTTAATCTAATATGAATTGTTTCCCGCTTTGTTATGTGAACAATGCTGTATGAATATTCTTGACCTTCACTCCTAGTGTACATTTGCAAGAGTTTCTCTAAGGTATATGCCCAGGAGCAGGATTGCTGGGTCATATAGCAGACATCCACTTGCCTTTCGCTGGAACTGCCTTTGTTTCTAGCACACAACACTCTTTTGGCTGTTCCTTTGCCAGCTTACCTTCCTCTACCGGCCCTTAAATGTTGAAGCCCTTCAGTCCTTGGTGTTAGCGCCCCTTCTTTTTTTACTCTGTATTCTGCCAAGGGGATCTCATTAGTTTTCCTAGGTCAGAGTTTTCTTTTAAGTCCCTCATTCCATATATCCAAGTACCCACTTAACACCTCTGCTTGCATTTCTTTTTTTTCTTTCTTTGAGTTGGCGTTTCAATCTGTCGCCCAGACTGGAGTGCAGTGGCACGCTCCCGGCCACCGCAGCCTCGACCTGCTGGGCTCCGGTGATCCTCCTGCCTCAGCCTTCCAAGTAGCCAGAACTACAGGCATGCGCTACCACGCCCGGCTAGTTTTTGATTTATTGTAGAGACGAAGTCTTACCAAGTTGCCCGGGCTGATCTCGAACTCATGGCTCAGGCAATCCACTCGCCTCAGCCTCCCAAAGTGCTGGGATTACAGGCTGTGCCACCGAGCCCGGCCTGCTTGCATGTCTTAAAGGCGCTTTATGTCCAAGCCTGAATTCATAATTTTTACCATCCCTCACCCCCACCCAGTCTGGTCTTTAAGTTTTGCGAATCTCAGTGGATGGTATTACCAGCCATCCTGTTACCCAAGCCTGACACTGACAGATCATCCTTGATACGCCTGGTTCCTTCCCCAGATTCTCTCAATCACTGAATTGCATTGAGCTTACCTCTTAAATACTTCTTTTAGCTCCCCCATTCTAACTCAGGTGCCGGTGTCTCTAGCCTTCAACTAGTTTCCTGCATCCAGTCTTAGTCATCTCCTACCTATCCTTCCGACTATAGTTAAAAGGACAAAAACAAAATAAAAACAAAAGCACTCCCCTGTTTCAGCACTCCCTTTTGGTGGCTTCACTGCTCTCAGAGTAATCACGGGGTCTTCGCTGACTTGGCCCCTGCTGACCCCACCAGCCTAGCTGTGGCCTACCACCTCGCTTCTGTACTGTAGCTCTGTGGCCCTGCTCTCAGCTTTGCGAACATTCTGTTCTTTCAGCCCTTCCCCTACCCTCTGCATGTTGTTCTCTCTGTCTGGAATACTCCCGTCCCCTGCTTACCTCAAATTTCATTCCCATTCACCTGTTATATTCCAGTTCAAGCATTCCCTCTGCAGACAGGCCTCTCCCCACCCTCCAGACCAGGTCAGGCGTTCTCATTGTATGTACTTATGGCAACCCAGGCTTTTCTTCATGACAGCTGTCACTGCATGTGTTTAAACCTTTTGGTAAGTACTTGATTAGTTTCTATCTCCATTAGTAGATTATACATCGACTGTTAGGTCTCAGTAACTATTAGTTGAATAAATGAATGTTAAAGGAAAGTATATAGAATATCTGGCCTGTACCCTAGTGTCTGGCACATAGTAAGCACACAATAAATGGCTGCTCTTGCTGTTAGGAACCCTCATCTCTCTCTTATTCTTATAGGATCCTGCTCGGTGTGTCATTGGCTTTTTGCACTTGTTTCTGAATGTCTTTCTGAGGATTTTCCCTTCATTCTGGTAGAATGAGGACAGTGGTGGTCATTCATTGTTTATTCATTGCTCCTTCAGAAATTTGATAAGAAGTATTTTTTACATTATTGTCATTTAATTCTCACAGTTCTATGAGGTAGGTACTCTCATGATCTCCTTTTTATAGTTGAGGAAACTGAGGAACAGGGAAGTTAAGAAACTTGCCCAAGGTCACCGCATTGGTAAGGGCTGGAGCTGGATTTTGAGTCTGTCTGCTTTATTCTGAGACCTGCTTTCTTAACCACAGTGCCGTGGAGTCTAAGACAGACTCCACGAGCAACTCAGGGAGGACAGTATGTGAATCAATGTCCTTAGTCTAAGTGCTGTTGTCATCCAGAGAGAGAAGTTAGTCACTGGGAAGTCTAAGGGTGCACGTACACCTAGGACTGGAACTTGGCCCATGGGTAGATATGGTCGAGGGAGAGGAGTGGGTGGAGGTGTTCCAGGCAGGTGAGCTGTGGAAGGGGGCTATGGTCGCGTGCGAGAGAAGGCGGAATCTACACAGTAAAAGCAGATTTGGAAATCACGGAACTTCTCTTATTTTGATGCCTCCTAGATTGTTTTGTGCCAGAATAATATCCGAAATCAAGCCCACATGAACAGAGTGGTCACCCACGAGCTCATTCATGCATTTGATCATTGCCGAGCTCATGTTGACTGGTTCACCAACATCCGACATTTGGCCTGCTCAGAGGTGAGTTTTACCGCGGATGTCATTGAAATTTTCCCCACAACACTCTGTGTTCTAACATTTTATTCGAGTATGATTTATTTAAACTTTTTTCTTTTCTTGCTGTCATAGTTCCTCCATAGCCTTGAATTTCTGTTTTTAGCTAATATTGAATTTGTGAGATAAAACTTTGTTTTTTTGATGCCCAGGCTGGAGTACAGTGGCTCGCCCACAGCCACCCTGATGTTGATCTGTTGGACTCAGGTGATCCTTCCGCCTCAGCCTTCCAAGTAGCAGGAACTGTAGGTGCATGCTACCATGCCCAGCTAATTTTTTTTTTTTGATATATTGTAGAGATGGGGTCTCCCCAGTTACCCAAGCTGGTCTCGAACTCCTGGGCTCAGGCAGTCCTCTCACCTCCACCTCCCAAAGTGCTGGGATTACAGACTTGAGCCACCATGCCCGGCCAACATACAAATTTTAAGTATCTTTTTAGAATTGTGTTAAATATAACCTTTAAGCTGTAGTGATAGTGATGACTGACTTTAGTAACAAATGATTAATTTTTCCTATGAGATAAAATATATAACAATAATAATTAACATTTACGAGGGCTGTGTGTCCAACACTGTTTGTATGTTCTTATTTAATCTTCACAGCAACTCACTGAGTGGATACTATTATTATCCTCTTTTTTGTGTACGTGGAAAGTGAGGCAGTTGTTTAGATTCCAAAGCTAGTAATTGGCGGAGGCTGGATCACAACCTGGGATTGTAACTAGTTTGCTGTGCCACCTTCCATAGGTAAAGCTCCTTGCTTGCACTAGAGTAATAACATTTAGTCTCAAAAATAGAACATAAAAAGATATTTATTATATTTATGTACTTTGGATTGCTCTGAGACGTCTATATCCATATATATGTTCCTAGGGAGTGGATGTATTTCTTACTTGGTTCTCATTAATTGAAGAGCACAATGTAGTGAGAAGTTAAAAACTAGGATAAATTTCAAGCTTATACATAGTAACTTAGGTTATTTTCTCTTTCTCTTGAAATTAGTAAGTGACCCCACTGCATCTAATTATAATTCATATTATTTCATGAGTAGACTGAAACCTGAGTTTTTAACTAGATCTCTCAGATACCCTGAGAATTTGTGCCTGTTAGCTGGTCAAAGTGTGTTAAGTACCTTGAGTGCCTCAGAGGAGTGAGGCTACGTTCCATAGAAGTAACAAGAAGTGGGCTGTTCTGTTTGCAGTGAATTTGCAAAAATGTGGCAAATTGCCTGTGGAGTCTATGTGGGTCATTTAAGACTTTTTCATCTATTAAAATATAGTAAATTAGGACATTTTTACCTTAAGCAAATGTAAATTAGAAAATATACCCTAGCTTCAGACTGTCATGCTTATAATTTGGAATATTCCAAATTATATATATACACATACACACACACACATATATATATATAAATATATATATATATATATATATTTTTTTTTTTGAGTCAGGGTCTCACTCTGTTGCCCAGGCTGGAGTGCAGTGGCATGATCATGGCTCATAGCAGTCTTCAACTCCTGGGCTCAAGGGATCCTCCCTCCTCAGCCTACCAACTAGCTGGCACCACAGGTGTGTACCTCCACACCTGGATAATTTTTGTTTGTTGTTTGTTTATTTGTACAGATGGGATCTCACGATGATGCCCAGACTGGCCTTGAACTTCTGGGCTCAAGTGATCTTCCTTCCTTGGCATCTCAAAGCACTGGGGTTATTGGCATGAGCCACCATGCCTGGCTGAATGTTCTTGATTCTTTGTGCTTTGTAACACTTAATTGCTCATAGGACAGTTAAGGCCCTAGAAGAAGGCCCTGAGCTCACACAGGTATGAGAGAAGGTCAAGAGAGATTTGGCCAGGGCTGAGAGGGGTCATATGCTCAATGTGTCTTGGATATTAGTACATTCAGTTTTAGGCTTACATGGAAACTCACTTTGCTTCTTGAAGTCCTTCTGGTGATTTCTGGAAGTGTTTGTATCTTGTAGGGAGTGTGGACTGTAACTCTGAGGTCCAAGTCTCTGACTTTTGGTTTCAAAGAAATTAGTTCTGTCAGCAAGGCTATGGTGTCATGTTGAGAACTTTCCCCCAGTGTATTTGGCATTGTCTCCATGGATCTGCTCTTGTTGTCAGTGAGTTTAAAAAATTCTTTTAAAAGAAATCTTTTTTTTTTTTTGAGTTGGAGTCTCACTCTGTTGCCCAGGCTGGTGTGCAGTGGCCGCTCCCGGCCACCGCAGCCTCGACCTGCTGGGCTCTGGCGATCCTTCCGCCTCAGCCTTCTGAGTAGCCAGAACCACAGGCACGCGCTACCACACCCGGCTAATTTTTTGATTTTATTGTAGAGATGAGGTCTTGCTGCCCAGGCGGGTCTCGAACCCGCGGGCTCAGGCAATCCACTCACCTCAGCCTCCCAAAGGCGCGGGATTACAGGCTGAGCCACTGAGCCTGGCTAAGAAATCTTATTTTTGTAGAAGGCAAAATACTCTGTTTTCAGAAAAACATGCTAATTTTATATTCTTTTTTAATTGTTAGAAGGTGGTTGCTTTGTAAAGATTTACAGAGCATGAGCATGGCTTTTCATCTGTCTCTTGTCTTTGTGATAGGTTCGAGCTGCTAACCTTAGTGGAGACTGCTCACTGGTAAACGAAATATTCAGGTTTCACTTTGGATTGAAACGACACCATCAGGTAAAAACGAACATGTCACCTCCCCTCAAGAGGGTTTTGAATGGAAATAATGAATAAAGAAATGAGAAGTACATTTAGTGTTCGAAATTTGAAAGTACTGTGTATATGAAAAGAATACAAAATGTGTTCCATTTGATAACAAAGTAGACGGGATTTAGTTCTACTTTATGGGCAAGCTATGTATCTGATGGAGAGTGTGAGAGATTTTTATAAAGAAAGGGGCTATGATCTGGGTGGCATACTTCTGGACAGGGGTGAATAAGGGTGAAAGTGAAGTCATGGTCTGGCTTACTGTTATCCTAACAGCCTTGGATCATGTTTTGACTTGGCCATACTGTTCTGGAGACAGAAAGCATCATCCCTATCAGAACAGAGGCTCTATTGCAGCACAGGTCATGACTGTGTGTCAGTGCACCTTCAAAGACTGTCTAATGTGATTGAAAAGCTTTGGGTTGGCGTGAACTTGATTACAAAGAGCTTAGCTGAGAGGGATTTTGTTAACAGAGCAAAACAAAAGCAAACAACAGAAAAGAAAACTGTTTAAGGCAAGATTATCCTGCTAGAAAGCCATGAGATCCATGATAGAGGGATGTGGGGAGAGGCATGGGGAACTTGTGGATGATTATGGAATGTGAGCAGTTCTGCCCACAGCAACCCAGGGCCTGTGGCCACACTTGGGAGAAAGGCTGACCAGAGATTTTCTGTGGGAAGGGCTTGCTGGGCCCATTTGTGACATACGTGAGCATCTGGGTATCAGTTTCAAATTAATGAAAAAGGAGAGGCTTGGAACAGCAGGAAGGCCCTTGGAGAGAGAGAGAGTAATTCAACCCTGGGGTGGAGGGCGGAGAGTCCCAGTGAGCTGTTGAGGGACACCGTGAACTTCCGGACGGGGGGCTGGATAAGCCTGCAGCCTGAGAGGATGACAGCTTTGCTTGGACTGTGGGACTTTTAGCCTGTGCTGAGTCAGCTCAGAGAAATGCCATTGAGTTGTCTCGTACTGGATCTTCTGTGTCCTTAAATCCCTGCTTCTCTGGGAAACCCTGTGTGTTCTGGCTCTCAGTGGAGAGGGTGGAAGTATGTGCCCATCAGTACGGCCTAGAGAGGAGGATGGTGTGGCTGAAGTGTGTGATAGCATAGCTTGGGGACATCTGCTCCATTACAAATGTCAGATAAATTGTTTTCTTAGGAACAGAATTTTAATATTTATGCAACGAAAAGGGGAAAAAAAGTGTTTTTTCTCTTCTTTTTTTTTGAGTTGGAGTCTCACTCTGTCGCCTAGACTGGCGTGCAGTGGCCGCTCCCGGCCACCGCAGCATCGACCTGCTGGGC